TATATATTCCAAATGAAAGGTGTGCTTACAAATATATGTTAACCAGAAAAGTATATTTATAAATAGAGAAATACATAATTTTGACATACTTTTTACTACACCAGAATATTTAAAAGGTTATCAAACTAATTTATAAATCACGTTATTAGTTTTTTTATCTGTTTTTTAAAAAAATCTTCTTATTTTTTAAAATTAATTTGATAGTTAAAGCTTATCTGATTTGCTATAGCAGTTCGACACAGTTAGTTACATACTAATTTTCATTAAAAGTAAACGTGAATGTAGAAGTAGGATTGGGAAATAATTGTTAAGACAAATTTTGCTATTTCATGGACTTAAATTATATTTTTTACATCTTATTTTCGTGACAGTTATCACTGGTTTATGCGATAACTGCGACTCTAGTACTGTAGTTGCAGTTTTTTACCCCTTTAACTGAATTTGGTAGATTGCCATCTTTTTCAGTATGCAGATTTCTCGCTATAATGAGAAAATAAGTATTTTTTAGCGAAACATTCTTTCCTTTATCTAGCACTCAGCCCTACTTCTGTTGGTTATTTTTTTGGTGACAGCACCTGATTGCTTCTTTTTTACTACGTGACGTCAGTGCTTCCACAGATGTATGATAGAAGCTGAACATGGTTCAGCTTGCCATGCGCCACAACGCATCACAGATGTCAAACAAAGTCAGTTCATTTGCCGATTGAAGAAACGCATATGCAATGTGTCCGCACAGCAGTTATGGAAACAGATCCTTAAGTTTTTTTTTGGGGAGGGGCTTTAAAAATCTCTAAGAATAGAATAATGAATATTTTAGAAATTTTAGTTATATATTACTGCAACTTTATGCAGTAAAAAACTAGCCAAAAATTCTAAAATATTAATTATTCTATTCCTATAATCAACATTAATGCAGAATTAACATTACAATAATCAGCATTACAATGGAAAATTTTAATTACAGCTATAAATGCTACATGATTCCTCATCCATAAAACAACACAAAATATCTTATAATTCTTTAAGTAGGCACAAATTATTACTCAGCACTGCATTAAGATCAGTTAAAACCAGTGGAAAAACGAACCTCATACAGCTCCAATATGTACAAATATACAGGGTGTGTTGAAAAATTCTCACCAAATTTGTTATCTCAAGAACTATTTATTACTCGGAAATGACTATCTATATCTCTTTAGTTATTTATGACTCTACAATAATTAAATAATTCCTTTACTCATACTCTCAAATGAGGAAAACAAAAGTTACACTAACTCTCTAAAAAGAAGAACATAGTATGTTGCCATTCTCTGAAAACATAAACTGTTACAAAGCATAGATAATAATAATATGAATAGATAATGAATAAAAAAAAACCGATAGAGTAAAGAAAACGATTACATCTGCTTGAATTAGATTTAATGCACATAAAACAGAAATGAATTATAAAAACACAAGTATAAATCAAATTGGAACACAGAGCTCAAAAAGTTGCATACAAGGTGTAAAAAGAGTAAGAGATTTGAATTCATGACCCCAAAAGTCAAGCTGCACCATCATAACCTTTACCTTCACACTATCATCACAGATGTAATTTACAATTTTGGCTTATACATATCATAAAGGAAATTAATTCTTAAACACTAAATCCCTAAAGCATTTTTTTACAAAAAAAAAAAAAAAAAAAAAAAAAAAAAAAAAAAAGTGGCGTTTCAATTGAAGTTAGATGGTTAAAGTATATATTCCAAATGAAAGGTGTGCTTACAAATATATGTTAACCAGAAAAGTATATTTATAAATAGAGAAATACATAATTTTGACATACTTTTTACTACACCAGAATATTTAGAAGAATAGAATAATGAATATTTTAGAAATTTTAGTTATATATTACTGCAACTTTATGCAGTAAAAAACTAGCCAAAAATTCTAAAATATTAATTATTCTATTCCTATAATCAACATTAATGCAAAATTAACATTACAATAATCAGCATTACAATGGAAAATTTTAATTACAGCTATAAATGCTACATGATTCCTCATCCATAAAACAACACAAAATATCTTATAATTCTTTAAGTAGGCACAAATTATTACTCAGCACTGCATTAAGATCAGTTAAAACCAGTGGAAAAATGAACCTCATACAGCTCCAATATGTACAAATATACAGGGTGTGTTGAAAAATTCTCACCAAATTTGTTATCTCAAGAACTATTTATTACTCGGAAATGACTATCTATATCTCTTAAGTTATTTATGACTCTACAATAATTAAATAATTCCTTTACTCATACTCTCAAATGAGGAAAACAAAAGTTACACTAACTCTCTAAAAAGAAGAACATAGTATGTTGCCATTCTCTGAAACATAAACTGTTACAAAGCATAGATAATAATAATATGAATAGATAATGAATAAAAAAAACCCGATAGAGTAAAGAAAACGATTACATCTGCTCGAAGCTCGTGCAATATTACTCAGAAGCTGCAGTTAGAAAAAAATATAAACAAAAATATTAGAGTCAAAATATTGTTCAGCGTGGTTAGAATTAAAGTTCACTTTCAAATGGCCACAAAAGGAAAATACTAGACCAAATGTTATCAATCTAGGTAATCATGTAAACGATTTCATGGGAATTTATGTGCCCCCCCCCCAAAAAAAGAGTTCCGAAACTCACCACCAGGAGGAAATGGCGCTGTATGCAATAGTGTTAAAATGAAATAAGATTTGGATTCTAACTCAACCTTTTGTTACATGAGTTTAACATGTTGTATGTCCTTAAGAAATATTGACCTAAACAAAATTACCACTTAAAGGTGTTTAAGGCGATAAAAGTCGAGTGTGCCATTCGTGTAACAGAGAAATTTGTTCTTGAAAACCACAAATTAGTGATTAGAAAATGTTAGATCACAAATCACTCGCAAATGTGTGCACATTCCAGAATTCATTTTCTTACAGATCGCTAATTTGTCATTTTTGAAGCTTGGATTTCACCCTACGACATGGATACCGGTTTGAAACATTTTTAATCATTTCTAAAATGAAAGAGTCTGTGAGTTTGTGCCAAACTACAATGGCTTTAACTGGCTCACAGCAGAAAGAAGAAAATAATCTGAACAGTTTGGTGTAATTAAAAGATGCGATACATCGATATTCTGTAACATTCTTTCAGATATGCTAAGAGCTGCTGTTGAAAATACAGTAATACGATTTAACTTGCTTTCGAATATATTTATATGTGTGTGTGATTATGGCAAAGCCTCGAGGGCTAGCTGCCTAAGGGGAGGCGTGCCTTCGTGGAGGACTTTCTAAGGGAAACTGGCTTGTATACACGTTACACATGGGGAAAAACACAAAAACGCCCATGCAGCCAGCCCGTTCGTGGGATTCGAACCTCGGGCCGAACTACAAGCGTTCAGCAACTTTACTGCTTGGCCGCTGGTGGGCCCTAACTTGCTTTCGGAAAATGGTGTAGGCCACACTTAACATGCTTTGTAACACGTTTCAGAAACACTTGTACATATTTTAAAGCGATGCCTTCACGTCTTATTTCATTTAACAATATTCCATATAGCGCCATTTCCCCCCTAGTGGCAATTTTTTTAAGTTTTTTTCACGGAAAATAAATTTCCATGTCTTCCTTTAAAAGATTACCAAGTTTGATAACATTTAGTCCAGTAGTTTTCTTTTTATGACCATTTCAAAGTGGAACTTTAATTATAACCACCCTGTATATTACTGAGTTTGAAGACTAGAAATCTGGATAGTGATTCACGCTAAAAATAACAAATTATCTCATTATTCTTCTCATATACTAACAGCAAGGAATGCCTGGATGAGAGAGAATGGAAATAGAAATGGAGAAAAGCTTTATTCTGTGTGAATGTGAAAAAAAATCTAACGCCTGTTTTTTCCCCCAAGTTAGAAAAAAGGCTTTTTCATTATAGGTCAAGCTGAACAATGAGAGTAATAGTTCGAGAATTCTGTGGTACAAAGCTATTCAGTCAATATAATCTTAAAAACAAATTTACATAACAAAATTTTCACCATTCTTATCCATAGAATTTTATGAATTTCTGCACTAACTGCAATACTATATATTATAAATTCACTGAAATACAATTAAAAAAAACAAGTTTATGTTTCAATGCCAATATTTATAAATAATATAGAAATAAATTTAAGCACTAAGTTCTTTATGAAAACTTATTTTATCTATATTATTTTTCCATTCACAGAATATCATTATAATTTTTCTTTTTTAAATGATCATAGTTTTTTAAATTGATTAATTTAGATTCCTCTATTTTCTACATTAGTAACATATTCTCCTTATTTTCAGATATTCAGCAAGCATGTTACTTATTCAGTTTAACACAATTATTACCTTAAGAGGCAACAGAAGAGCTTACAGGGCAATAGGAAGAAATATCACATTATAAAAACTTCAGAATCTCAGAATTTTAAAATTAACTTCAATAAGGCTGCTTCAATGTGTTCATTTATAAAACCAGTTAATTAAGTGTAGTTACATCACTACAACATTGGTAGTGCAAAATTCAAATATTTATTAAACTCAAAAGAGAACCACCTTTAAATACAGCAGGAAACTTTTCATCTATTTCCCTTGGTATTCAAAAATACATTTGAACATCATGGACAAATTATCTGAATATTTCAATTTTCGATCTGCTAAGTGTTTCAACCAAATCAAGCAAAAAAATTCTTAAATTTACAAATCAATGTTCTACTAATAAAATTTGTATGATGATATTTAAAACATTATCACAAACAGCTATGTTTTTATCACATTATAGTTGATGAATGAAAACTGTTTGTAGTCATTAATACAATCATTAATGACTACAAACAGGCAATAAAAATACAATGAAATACTGAATTTACTTTCCTCATAATAATTTTAATACTTCATTGTTATATTCAGTAATTGAACAGAACAATTATAAAAATGGAAAAGTTCTTCAAGACTCACCAAGTGGATGCGTTCTAACAGTCGTAATGGCTTGAGGACTACACTGTTCATAGTCATCCATTACTGGTTTTTCTGAAGGTTTGTCATGACATGCTTTTACCTATAATAATACATATATATATATATGGTATATTATATAATATGTATATTATATGGTATATTATATAATATGTAATCATATTAGCTCTTGAAAAATCAATCAATTTTAGGAAAAATAATACTGAAAAGTCTTTAATCTGAATGTCCATAATCCGGAATGATCTATAATCCGGACCTCAAAGCTACAAACTTTCTGCGCATGCGTAAACGCATATGTGCATTTACGCATGCACATTTAATGTATAACGGACGGTATAAGCTAAGCTAAAATGATCTAATTATCTATTTCAGTTAATGTTGCAGATTGCGTTGTTCCTTGATCTTTTAATTGGATCCGGCTTATTATTTTTTTGCAGACTGTTAGAGCAATTTTTTAAGAAGTAAGCGTGAACTTTCAATTATGTCAAAAAGAGTTTCCAATTCTGGAGCTCTCAAAAGCAAAAGCATGTTTCGATATCAAAGCGAAAGCATGTTCCGATGTCCATTAAACAAAAAGTGGAATTGCTGCAAAAAATAAATAAAGGCATGAAGAAAGTGACAGAGAGGTGATTTGTTTTTCTAATCATTCCCAAATCTGTTTATCAATTTCACACTGCTCTGTGGGGGGGGGGACATCGCAGCGCAGAATGAACTGAAGTTGATCTGTCAGCACTATCCTTATCTTCAGGGCAGATGTTTTTATTTTATTTGGCTTATAATTCCTTACTAAATGTAGTATTTCATCTCGATGTACTCTGTCTTTGATTAAAATCAAATTCATCGTTATTATAAATATCACGAATACACATCAAATAGTTTTCTGGTTGCAATTTTCTAATTTCAACTATGTGCAATGTATGCTTTATGCATGCGCACGTTGAAAGAAATGTTTAATAAAGTAAACAAATATATATTAAGCTTTTTTTTTAAATTTTGATACCATTTAGATCATAATTGCTCTTTATTTCATAAATTACGGTTTCATATTTTTAATTTTATAATTTCTGCATGCCATCTTACCAGATTTAAACTGATGATCTATAATCCGGAAAAAACGATAATCCGGAATCGACAAAGTCCCGACGAGTCCGGATTAAAGACTTTTGACTGTATTTTAATCAATGTATGTTTCCTAGGCATATATGGGGATTGCAAAAATAAAGCTCATGAGGAAATCTGTAGTCATTTTCAAAACCAGGAAAGTGAATTTAAAGGGGAAAATAGTACTTTCTGATTTACAACCCCTATCCGAAAACTCATAAACATACTGGTGATTTTGAAGAGCATTCGCACAGCTGTTGGCTACTAATTTTTCACAAAGTTAATGCATGAAAGGCAACAGCCATTTTTAAAATAATGGCACATTAAGAATTCTGTACAAGAACAAACATTCAGTAAAATTTGAAAAGCAAGACATCCATAATAAAATACTAATTTTTCTCGAGAAAAACTTTTTTTTGTTGTGTACAGCAATATGTTTTCGCTAAAAAAAGGGGCGGGGGAGAAAGGGGGTATTGCACAAAATTGGCATCTATGCAATTCGGCACTGCACACTGGCCAAAACAGGCGTGTAACATTTTTTGGCAATATCCTGGGTCCTGCAACAGTTTGGTGTGGATATAAATAATCCCCCCAAAAACCTCTAAAAATTCATTAAATCTTCTTTTTAAATAAATCTTTCATTACAAATATTGTTTGCTGTAAATACATTTATTGTTTTTTACAGTACTTTTCAGTACTGTCTTTGGTACTCCAAGCAATCGGTGCACCAAGCAATAAACTGATAAATGCTGATTCAATCACCATCACTGACAATGCAAATATACCGCATTATTCTTCCTGCAAACTTCTAATAAACAATGCTTGAATAGTTTACCAGGATTCTAATGCACTTAATTTTTATCAAAATTTAAAACCTGCTACAGGGCAGGAACAAGTCATACTATTATATTTTCAAACAAGTGTTGGAAAGCATAAAATGGTACAAAAAGCACTTTATAATAACATGTCATAACATGGAATCTTACTGGCTGAATTCATGCAGAAAAGGGAAACAAAGCTTGGCCAGCTAGCCAAGTAACTTAATTAGCCACCTGATTATAACATTTATATATAGCTAAGGAGAAAATATCTCAGCTTCTATAAATGTTTCCTTTTTTTTTTTTTTTTTTTTTTTTTCAATCATACTCTTCTGCCATTTATAAGAAAATACTGGCTGTCTGAGAAAACATCCACATTTTTTTAAATACAGCAGAACCTCGGATCATGAATAAATTGGTTCACAAAAAAAAAAAAAAAAAAAAAAAAAAAAAAAATTACCTGGACAATGTCTCAGATAGCAAACTGTATATCGAGTTACAACCTTTCAGATCAGTAACAATGGTATTTTGGGGTAAACTCTGACACAGAATAAACACTCAGAGACTTCTAGAAATATCATTTTAATACATCCCATTGTTTAATTCTTAGTAACAAATAAGATACAAATGATTTATAAGACCATGAACTTGGCCTGGAGGGCCAGACTGCATTGCAGGCAGAGAGTTTGAGTGGTTTTACCTGAGGAATTTTTATTTATTTACAACATTCTATCTCTAGACAATACCATAAGCTTGGAAGTTATTGATGAAGATACAGAACAGTTATAACCATAGCCATGAGTTCATTCAGAAAGAGCTGCGACAATTATAAGCTTCAACAAAGTTTTACTGTAAAGGGCATGTCTTAGAAAAGAAGAAAAATAAATGAACAGTTCTTTGATCCACAACATTTGCACAAATTGGAGTAGTGGGCAAAGTTTCATATGATGATATTATCCTGATAAAGCAACAGTAAGCTATAACATAAGCATTTTTGATAACAAAACTGCATGTAAAATTTTGAATGAAATGAAGACCCAGTAAGTGTTGAATAGAGTTGGTTGCTGCTGAGACAGAAAAAGTAAGAGATGCCCCAGAAAAACATTTACCTGATTTTCCAATGGAAGGCGTCTCCTAATCCAAAAAAATGTAATAGTTGTGATGTATATTTAAAATAACCACAACTAAAACTTTAACTGTAAATAACTATAACTTTAACTGTAATGGCGTTCATGCTATGTGATTCCGTTGTTGTGATGCATGTGTTACTGTGCTAGCTGAATGTCATGTGAACTGTTTAAAAATGTATAATAAAATTTTGAATTCTTGAGATATACTCATTAGTTGAGTCTACTTTGAAAGTATACAAGTTATCAAGTTTAACAAACTACACAAGAAGTTACATGGTGTCAGGAGCAAAATGGATTTCAGACCACCTGCTCCGCTAACATTCTCCGTCGGAAATGTTAAAGAAAAATGGAAAAAATGGAAGCAAGAGATAGAAAACTATTTACTTGCAACGGAAAAAGATGCCAAGCCAGGTAAGACTAAAATTGCAATCCTTTGGAATGGAAGACTAAAATCCAATGGAAGACTAAAATTGCAATCCTTTTGAATCCTTTTGAATTTGCTCGGTAATGAAGGACTTGAAATTTATAACACGTTTCAATTTGAGCCACCTGAGAATAAGGAGAAGTACGAAGAGGTCTTGAAGTCTTTTGAAGATTATTGTTCACCACGGCAGAATGTCGTATACGAACGTTACAAATTCTTTTCGTGTAGCCAGCAAGAAGGACAAACAATTGAGTTATATGTCACTCAGTTAAGACTTTAGCATCAACTTGTGAGTTTGCTGAACAAGAAAATGGATTGATTCGCAACCGTATTGTATTAAGCATTCGGGATAGGAGTCTGACCGAACGTTTGCTTCAAGAATCTAACCTAGGATTACAAAAAGCTATAGAAATAGTCCGTGCTGCTGAAACAAGCAAAGAGAAACTCCGGAACATGAAAGATGATCCAGCGACTGTGAACAGTGTGAAGAAATATAGAAAACAGCAGCATCAATCAAAACAGTCAATTCCACCGAAATTGTCATCGATATCAGCACTAGAATATGACTGCAAGAAGTGCGGAAGAAGGCACAAATATCGGGACTGTCCAGCTTTCGGAAAGACACGTGCGAAATGCAAAGTAAAGAACCATTTTGCCGCAAGGTGTCCCAAGAACATTTATGAAGTTGGAATACCAAATAATGAACTTAGTATATATAATGAACATAGTGTATTTGTTGACTCTGTAATGATAGATCCACCAGTAAAGCGGGTATAGTGAATTTAAAATAAGTGCAAAATCAATCAAAGAACTAAAAAATTCTATTGATGAAGTAAATAAGGATATTCACAAGGTAAGTGAAACATGGGTGAAAATGTATTACAAATGTGTGTAAATAATAAGTTTTTCAAGGTTGATTTTAAGTTAGATACTGGTGCAGAAGTAAATATTTTGCCTTCATATGTTTTAAATAATGTTAAACTTAAGCCTAAACTTAATGAAACTGATTTGTTGTTAACTGCATATGGTAATTTTAAGTTAAAACCAGAAGGTACTCTTATAATTAATTTTGATGTAAGATCTAAGCCTATATTAGGGTTAACAGCTTGTTCTGCATTAATGCTAATTGAAAGGATTGATTCCTTAAAGTGCAATATCATTAATAAAAATGATTTAATTGCTTAGTATAAAGATGTATTTACAGGTACAGGACAATTTCCTGATGAACCATATCATATAACCCTTAAATATGATGCAATACCAGTAATGCACCTCCCAAGACGTGTTCCTAGGCTTTACAGCCTAAATTAAAAGATACTTTAGATAAACTTAAAAGAGAAGGGATAGTATCGAAAGTAAATAAACCAACTGATTGGGTTCAAAGTCTGGTTATAGTTGAAAAACCTAATGGGAGTCTGAGATTATGCTTGGATCCTAGAGATCTAAATAAAGTAATTAAAAGGGAACACTATCAAATTCCTTCTCCAGATGATATAATTAGTACGTTAGAAGGTAAAAAAGTATTTTCAGTTGTAGATTTAAAAGATGGATTTTGGCATGTACCACTAGATGAAGCTAGTTATGAACTATGTACATTTAATACTTCTTA